AAGTCTTGTGTTTCTGTCAGCTGTGATGATTACACTTTTCACTGAAGACGTTTTTACTGCTTGGCTTTAAGACCAACATGCTTTCCTGGGTTTTCTCCTATTTCATTAGCCATCTCGACTCAGTTTCCTTTCTGGCCTTTTCTTCATCATCCTGACCCTTATGTGTTGAATCCTCAGAGCTCAGTCGCTGGGCTAATTTTTCTTCCCTGCACTTTCTCCTTCATTTAAATTATCTAGTTTTCTGTCTTCATGATATATGTGCTGTGCTGTCCAGATTGTATGTCCATAAATCCTGTGTCTGCATGCTTGTCTAATCTTCCTTCTTGGAGATTAAATAAACCTCTCAGATGTCACATCCAGGTCCACACTAGTGCTCTTCTGCCTAAAACCTGCTTCTTCCCCATCTCAGGCAAAGGTAACTTCCTCCGAGTTGCTCAGGCCAAAACATTTCTGGTGCTGTCTTCACTGTCTCTTTTTTCCCATACCCATGTCCTGTGTGTCCCTGTTAGCTCTGCCTTTCTGGCTTGGCCACTCCCTGATAGCCTGGGCTGTTTTCACGGCTTCTTCCCTGGCTCAAGCCACCATCACGAGGTGTCTGGATGTCACGGTGGCATTCTGACAGGTCAGCCCGCATCTGTTATCCTGACTTTAGTAGAAAGGGATGCAGCTAAAACATGACTCAGATCGTATCACTCATCCCAACATCATCCGGTGACTTCTTATCACTTTTTTTTTTTTTGAGGCAAAGTCACGCTCTGTTGCCCTGGAGTGCAATGGCGTGGTCTCAGCTCACCACAACCTCCGCCTCCCAGGCTCAAGCAATTCTCCTGCCTCAGCCTCCTGAGTAGCTGGGACTACAGGCAGGTGCCACTCACCACATCTGGCTAATTTTTGTACTTTTAGTAAAGATGGGTTTCATCATGTTGGCCAGGCTGGTCTTGAACTCCTGACCTTGTGATCCACCCTCCTCAGCCTCCCAAAGTGTTGGGATTACAGGTGTGAGCCACTGCACCCAGCCTCTTATCACTTTCATAGTAAGAGTCACAAACTCATGGTGGCTTCCGTGGCCCATATAATCTGGCCCCCACTGCTTCTGAAGATTCGTCTTCTCCCAGCCCTCGCTCATTCCGCCCCCGTGCAGGGGTCCCCTTGCTGGTTTGCAAGACCTTTCATCTCTGGATTTCTGCACTTGCTTTTCTTCCTGCCTAGAACCTTCTCCCCTTCAATTCCACGTGGCTTATCCTCCGTACATTCCTAAATTCTCTGCCTAAAGGTCTTCTCTGTGAGGCTGTCTCTGACTTTCCTACTGAAAATGGAAGCCCAACAGGTCCTTTTTTTTTCCTTCTCATTCTCCTCTGCAGTGTCGTACTTCTTATGTGCTCTGTCATTTTCCTGTTTATTTAATATCTGTGCTACCAAGATATAAATTCCTTTAGTCCAGGGACTTTGGTCCATATTCATGATCTCAAGCCTGAGAACCTGTTGGAATGCAGGTCTGAATAAATAAAAGTTTGAATCAGCTTTGCATCCTTGTGCAGACATAGTGGAGCATGTTTGTTGCAGGACAAGCCAACATTCCCAGAGCGAAAAGAGATGGAGGAAAAAAAGAGGGATGGTCAGGTCAAAGCCGGGGACATTGCTTCATACAGAGTCACTGACCTAGCCTTGAGGGACGTTCAGGACCCAGGCCGAGGGACAGGCTCAAAACAGGCTGAAGAACCCATGAATGCCATCAACCTGTTTTCTCAGGCAGCCATGACAGGCTGCTACAGACAGTGTGACTCAAACACAGAAAGTTGTTTTCTCACTGTTCTGGAGGCTGCAAAGTCCAAAATCAAGTCTCTGGTGAATTTGGTTGCTGGTGAGAGTCCTCTTCCTGACTCGCAGATGGCAACCTTCTTGCTATGTGATCACATGGAGGGAGGGGAGGCGAGGGAGAGAAGACAGGGGAGAAAGAACAAACTCTCTGATGCCTCTCCTGTAAGGGCCCCACCCTCACAGCTTCATCTCCCTCCCTCCCTCCCTCCCGAAGGCCCCACCTTTAAGTACCATCACATTAGGGGTTTGGGCTTCATCATGGGAATTATCAAGGGAGAAAAGCATTTGGTATACAACACAACCGAATTGAGATGGTTAGCAATGATGTGGGACAGATGGGCTGATTCATTAGTTAAGTTGCAAGGGAGACTTTATATTAAAGAGGAGGAAGAACTTATGTCAAAGAAGACATGAGAGGCATCCTGGGCAAATGCAATGTGTAGACTTGATCGGGTTTGTGATTAAATGAACATAATGTAAAAAAAATTACAAGACAGTTGAGGAAGTATAAATGCTGACTGGACATACAGTGACATTAAGAAATTACTGTTAAACAGTTTTGATGTGACAGTGATATTGTAATCCTGTTTTAGTGTCACAGAGTGAATTATTTATAGATGTGTTAAATGCAGTATTTAAAATAATCCATGGTGGGAGGAGTGGGTGGGTATTAGGGGAAACAAGTTGACATGACCCTTGTAATTGTTGAACTTGGATAATGGACACAGGGGGTTTGTTATACTATATTCTCTACTTTTACATATTCTTAAAATTTTCCCAACTGGATAGTTAAATTTTTTTTACTAGATAGTTAAAAATATAACAGAAACCACCTTGGGCACTTAGAGCTTTTGTTTTGTTTTTGTTTTAACATTTTAGAGTTTAGAGGTGTGTGGAGTTTAGGGAAATGAAGAGATGAGACTTTTAAGGTTAACGACTCTGAGAGACTTATCTGAAGAGTGCAACCCAGGCTTTCTATTTGCTTTTACAGGTTGTGCGAAATGTTTTTCAATTATGAGACAAAACGTGCATTAGAAACACTTCAAGAAGAAAAGCCTGAGCTGACCATTGTTTTTGAGCCCTCTTGGTAGGGGCAGAAACAGGGCTGCCAGGCACCAGTGTTCTCTGGCCCCTCCAGCCAGGGGGCCTTGGGTGGGGTGAGCTGTAGTCCATCCAGCCCAAAGATCCTTCCAGTGGGGTGTTGGAGAAGAGAGCTTGCTGATGACGCCTTGGTGTAGAGAACGGGCATCTCCTTTACGCCCAGGTGAGGAAGACCCAAGGGCAATGAAAGCTTCCGGATGTTGTTCTCATCACAACGCGTCAATTAGAGGATGTTCCTCTTGGTGACCTCATGTAATTAGCTCATTCAATAAAACAATTTCTTTGTCTTTATTTTTCTCTCCTCACTCTCTTTCTTTTTCCTGTCTTTTTTTCTTCTTTGTTCTCCTTTTGCTCATATAATCATTGCTGCCATCTTTCCATTAACTGACCATTACACAGAACTAATTGACTATATATTATGTTGAAATTTTGTGGCAGCTACTTATTTATTTAAAATTTTTTTGTAATAGTTATGTTTTCTAATAAGAATAATTCATGCTTTTTGTAGCTAGTTGAAAATTCAGGAATATGTAAAACTTTTTTGTATTTATTGAATTAAATTGTTGCCTTTTCTTAATTTCAATAAAGAGTGCCTAGAAATTTTTTAAATTATTTATTTAAACCACTTAAGATAAATTAAATTGCTTTGTGCATTTTAAAAATCGCTTTGGCAAATGATTCAATTGTAGATAATTTTTAAAAAATTACCTCACGCTAACTGTAATGAGTGGAATTTCAGCTTTGGTAGGATAAGAGCATGAAAGTCATGGAGGGAAAGGTTTTAGAGTGTTGGAGCCTGCACTCATAATCGGAAGTATTAGGTAGAAGATGCATCTTGTCTTCATTTGATAACAACTTATTTTGGATTTATCACATCTGAGGAACGGTTCATCTATCATACTTCAAAGAACATTAAGTTATAAGGAAATATTTACTAATTGCCTCTCTACACATGGACAACTCTTGAACCACATGGAATTGCTATGGATGGTAATACTACTTCCTCTATACAATTAACCATCAAAGTAGCCACACTTGGCTACTCAAGTTGTGGTCTAGGAACTGTAGCTATAAGGAACTTGTGTAAGATTGTAAATCAATCACATCATCAAACATGCTTTTTAGATAAGCGGACATTTAAAAAAAAACCTTAAGACTGTTTTCATAAGGGAAACAGTATGAGATTTCCATTCTGTTGCAAACCGTCTTGTTAGCACTTCTGAGCAGCACTGACTGGAGACTGGCTTCCTGCATCTTGGTGAACTATTACTGACTGCCTTCCTGCTACAAACACTTTGATACCCTGTGTACACAATGTAATCAGAAACACACAGCTGGGCTTGAAAGAGAGAAAGACAACCTTTGGGCATTAGGGTGTTAAAACTGGCCAGGTTGCTAAGAATGCCATTATTCCATTCCTTTTTATGGCTGAATAGTGTTCCATTCTCTCTCTCTCTCTCTCTAAATATATATATATATATATATA